GGGCCCGGCTCCGGGAACGGCGTGGCGCGCGCCCCGTGCGCCCGAGGCTGAGGTTTGGGGAACTGCCCCGAGGGCGCGCCCGGAACTCATTCTTTCCCCAGGGGCGCTAAGCACTAAAGATAGCTCCCTGAACCTGAACCTGAACCTTGCTTTCCTCCATCCGTAGAATGAGCGGATTGGACACGGAGCCCGAGTTAATCTTAGATCGCGGCTCTGTGGAACGTGCACGCACTACCAGGCTTTATAATTTGTCTGTGGGAAAATGCACGTGTATGAACATTCGGTGGGGTCTGGGAGTAAGGGTAAAGCTGCAGGGGCAGTCGGAGCTCCCTTTTCCTTTCTCAGAACTTGGCTTTCTGGAGTTAGCGTTCAGGCATGCAGCTTGCCCTTTGAATCGTAGAGTAGTCGCCAGCACCTTAGGTCTTTTGGCGAGCGCAAGATCTGGAGGCGTGGAGTTTGACAACCCGTATTAAACGCTGTTTCTTCGCAGCCAATGAAAGGACCTGTTGGATTAGACACTCCCACTGATACCATGTGGGCCGGAACTATGTGGACCAATGAGGATTGGAGGTGGATTTTATTTTTTCGGGGGATGGAGAGGTAGAGTTGAGGATTTCTAATTAATGTATAGAGCAAAAAGCTGAAATGCATTATTTCACAATCTAAAGCTTGCACATATAAAGTTAGTTTGTAGAGAGTATCTTCCTTGCAGGATGTTCTAGGATGTAAACTTGTAGATCGAATTGAGAACTGACTGTTTTTTCCTGTCTGCGCCGAACCTCATTCAACTGGTTACTTCTTTCTGGACGTCTTAAATGAAGCTTATAAATGGCAAAAAGCAAAGTAAGTAGAAGGCATGCTAATAAGCGATTGCATTAAAATATGCACCTTTTGCATACAGGTTTTTCTATTTGATTTAGGGAAATTGCTAGATAGGTTTTAGATTTGTCTGTAAAAGCTTGATATTTGGCAAACAGCTTTAGTTTCTTCTGTTTCTTTCTGTTTACCAATTTGGACTCTCAACTTTTCTGCATTCAATTAAAGTCTCCGAGACTTTGGAAAGTATTTTAACGTGACTGTGGGATGTGGTGACTCTGATACTTGTGTTTTGTAGGTCTGAAACATTTAGGTTAAAAGTTAAGATCTTGTCTGGAACTTTGAAGCCACACAGCATATTTGGCTAAGGTTGTAAGGAAGACATCCAGCACCTGAATTTGTATTTACTTTTGTTTTTGAGACTTGTTAGACAATGACTTTCTTTATGCACTTAATGTTGACTACTTATGATATATTAACCTGTTTTACTTCTTTTGAAACCATATTTTAGTTATTTCTCTGATCTACATTAACAAATCATATGAGAGCTTGCAATATAAATAGCTAAAATATAATGAGAGAACTGTATTGAGCTTTTGTTTAATAATGCTAGCTTGAATAGTCTATATTTAATTGAGGGTATAACACTTCTTACAATATTTTTTGAGGAATTGACGATACACTTAATAATGGCTTGGAGGCAGAGAAAATTTAACCATGAGCCAATTTTATGCCTTTGTGCTTTGTGTGGGAAAGTAAAGTGGTTTGTATTTAAGTTCAGTGACCATGATGCTTACTTACAAACTTTTAAAAAGGATTCATCAAATTTGATTTCATTATCCTACCACGTTTTCTGTTCTCAAATTCGAAAAAACATTTCTGAAATTTTACATGTTCTGAGTCACATCTGCTGTGTTCACTACCAAAATTTCTTAGTTAAACTAGGCTTAATTTAATATCTTTATACGTTCCCTATTAACATTCAGGTATCTTTTTATAAAAACATATTGCTCAATTGATATTTGGTACTCTAAGATGAATCTCCTTATCAGTCACAAAATCTTTCTCGTGACCGATAAATTTTCCGTGAGCATTTATTAGTATTTAGTGCTTAAAAAGAAATTTAAGAGTATGTCAGTGGTGGGAGCATCAGTGCTGGACAAATAATTCCTAGTTAGCAGTTTACGGCATCAGACACTTAACTTCTCTCAAAACCAGAGGTATGTTAGGACAGCCAGATACCACATCGCAGATAGGCACCTGGAATGCATATGTGGGTAGGTGTGTTTCTTTGTGTTTGCTAATAATTTTGGGTAGGATGCAATACACATTAAAATACGTAATGTTTAAAAATGACGAATGGAATAAAACAGCCCAGTAGTTTCAATTATTTAAAAAATTTAAATTTGAACCCTCCATGCAGGGACTATTCAGTCTTACAACCTAAAAGTCAGATCAGTGGCAGGTTGGTCTTGCTAAACCAGGAAAGGAATATTGTCCACTGTATTCATCTCCTCACCATCACCTCGCTCTATCTTATTCTTGGAAAACTTTCCTAAGACTGCTTCCTCAAGCTCCTTGGCTACTTTGTGTGCTTCTGCTATTAGCTGTATGACTTCAACCAAGTTACTAGTTCTTATCTTGAAATGCTGGACTTGGATAGGTTGTTTCTTGTACCTTCAAAATTCTATGATACATCAAGGCTGATAGTTCTTCCTACGTGACTTTTGCACTAGTTGTCCACTCTACCACATGCATTATTTTTTTTGCCTTGTGCCAATTGTATCATGTGTGCGATTTGTCTTATCTCCCCAATTAAGTTGGAAGACTGGTTATAGATGACATTTTTTTCCTCTTATTTCTTGCACATGAATATTTCATTGATGTCACAAAAAAGGTACACGTGACCTTACCACACCACTGACATGGCTGTTAGCATCTCAACAACAGACTTTGGCAAAGTCCTTCAGTGGAGTTTCTGTAAAGTATCAATAGGAAGATTCCTTTGCTTCTTGGTGCTCTGATTATTTGAAGCATACATAAATAACATCTTACGGAGTCAGCTCACTTTCCAAATATTTTGAAACTAATGGTAGTCCTAATGAGATGCATGCGGTGAGTGTCTAAGTAGTATTGTGAATGATGTAGTCATTCAGACCCTGGTGGGCTTGAGTTTGAATTGCAGCTGGATGACCTGGGGCCAGTTATTAACTTCTATGCTTCAGTTTTAGTATGATAAGATGGAGATAATCATACTACCTCATTGGGTTGATGTGAGGATTAAATGAGATAATATATATGAAGAACTTAGATTACTGCTTGGCCCATAACAGTTATTCAGTAAATGCCAGCTGTCTGCACCATCATATAGAACACCCTCCCCTGTTAACCCAAAGGACAGAACAATTGAACTGGCAGAGACAACCTCAGACTGACTTTCTTAATTAAAAAATGAAAAACAAAAAGTAGCCTAGAATAAGAATGACCAAAAAGTTTTATTTGATTAACTGTAATAGTTCTAGTCCCATAATTACTTTTTTTACCCTTCCACCGAAAATATTGGATAATACAAAAATGTACCAAAAAAGCAGGAAAAAGTACTCACAGTTCCATCACGCAAAGAAAACAACAGCTTAAAATTTGCCACAGTTTAAAGGTAATGTTGCAGGACAGGGCAAATTTCCCTGAGTGCGGGGAGACCAGGCCTTGCACTGAGAAGAGGGTCCACTGGTGGAGAGTGTAGAAAGAATTTCACACAGGCCAAAGTTAAGGTAAAAAGGAAAGGTTATTAGAAAAGGGATAACACTCCACAATCGGAGCGTGGTCTCTCAGGCAGAGAGTGAGCGGGACCCTGAGTGTTCGGGGAATTCAGTTTATATATCATTCTTTAGTTCCCATTTCCTATGAAAGGGACATACAGTGAGAAAGGGGAAGGGGAAGAGGATGTAGCATGAAAGGCCTGCTGGCTGTTCCCAGCTTTTAATCCATAGGTTCCCCATGGTTTTAGCCATAGGGAATGAACAATTTTATTTGTGTAGGGCAGCTACTTAAAGACTGTTGTTCCTGTTTCCCCTCCCGCAGGTGTGGGAAATGGGTTGTTAGCAATCCCAACAGAAATCTTCCTTTGTCCTGCAGGTGTCCTCCTGGCCTGGCTGCAGGGCTGTTCAGAATATTGCAGTCTCTAAATACAACTTGATTTAACATTCTGATTCTCTTGCCTCCTCCCTACATTAATGATACTAAAATAAGATTTTGATAACTTTTATTTAAAATTTTTTTCATAAGCATTTTTTTGTGCTATTAAACATCATTTTTAATGATTGTGTTATTTTCCCAAAATCCCATTATATGGATATACCGTAATTACTTAACTGGTCTCATAACTTTAGGCTGCAGCTACGGTCTCCATATCACTACTAGTGCTTCAGCACCGCCTTTGTACATAACTCTTTCTCCCCGATATGTTATTTTCAATGAAATTGGTAAAAACATACATACTTTTTGGAGGAGGAATAAAATGGCACAAAGTAGTATAATAGATGTTACATTGAAATCCTGGATATTTTAGACCCCAGGGATACTGTTAGATAAGCCAACAGTAGAAGGGAGACGGAAAAAATTGTAAAGGAGATAATTGTTTGAGTCACTGAACAGTGTTACAAAAAGGCAAATAAATATTTGAGCATCGTCAGAAGCCTGGAGGACCTGAGCTGCCCTCCTCCTTCCCCGTGTGTTGCAACAGACAGAAATAAGGGCTGAATCAGTGCAGCAGCCTCCTGGGGAGAGGTTCTGACTTCTCAGATCATCCAGATAGAACACTAGCAGAAAATAGGTGAGAGTTCATTATGCACGTAATATACTTATGGGTACAAACAGAAGAAACCCAAATCTGTTACTGGTTTTAGCTAGCCACCATTGTGAAAGTACAAGTTCTCAATTTTCTATATATTGGGATATTTAGCTTTGGCACTTGTGATTTCCACTACCTCTGAATCAGGTGAATTAGAAAAACCAGAATAAAAGATAAATAGGTAAAATTTTTTGGTTGTATCTTCATGGAGTATGGATACATGTGCATTTTAAAAAACATAACCAGTACTTCTAGATGGATGGGAAGTATTGCAAATTTAACAACAAAAGACTAAAACAGAAAGCAAGAACACACTAGCATTGCTACTTTCCGGGACGTGGTCAGTTTCCCCAAGTTTGTTAATGAAGTTATGAATTGTACAGCGCATAATTGAACTGAAGATTAAGAATTTAAGGCCCAATTGTCCAGTGTCTAAGTGGTTAAGTTAGATATCAGGATCTAGTAGACACATGAACACCACTTTTCCCTGAAAAAAATCAGTAAGTGGATTTCAACATTAATACAAAGCATGTTTTGTTTGGCATAGTAACTAACCAAAGATAGAAACAGTGCTGCTAATTTTTAACATGTGGGACATTTAATAAGTCAATAAAACAAAATCCATCATGGTTTTGGAGACAGAATTAGTAGAGAAACAAAGGAGTACCGGTTTTAAGTGACAGGTTTTTGGTATTCTTTTTTGTGACAGCGTGCCTTTTAATTGCATGTGTGTGTTTTAATATGAACCAATTACTGTGAAAATAAAAATAAATCAAGATTTGACTTCTATTATATTTAATTACTTGTCCTCTAGCTTTATTATGTAAGCCAGTATTTACCTTGGGATGACAATATTGTGATCAGGTATGAAAACTGTTCAATGTACACCAATGTACATGGGGCACCTAATTTCTAAGTAGATCTTTTCTCTAGATAGTGCAACTATCAAGTTCGTATCTCATTACTTAATTTATGACATCTTTTACATACTTAGAGTTGGATAATTGTGCGTATGTGTGTGTGTGTATGTTATTCTTGGGAATGTATTTGAAAGTAGTGGATGATTCAAAGGGCAAGTGAATGTTATTTTTAGAGCAGTTATGTCAAAATAATGATCTGGACCTCTAACAGATTTCTCTATAGTTTGAAAAGGGGGTAGAAAAACTTATGACAAAAG